GTCCCGTGCCGCAGATGGAGGTGGGCGGCAGCGAGGGGCCGGAGGCGTGGGACTTGCCCTCCGACGGCGAGTTTGAAGGCGAAGGCGACTACGAGGAGGGCTTCTTCGCAGAGTGGTGGCAGGAGCCTAAGACCAAGGGGGACAAAGCCGACCAAGGTTCCTGATGCCGGGGCTGTGGGCCGTGCCGCAGGGTGTGGGGGGGCTGCTGCCCGCACCCCAGTGCCATCGAGCCCTCCTTGTTTGCAGAGACCCTGTGATGAGCCAGGCGAAGGGGTGCCCGGCCCCGACAGAGCTGGACAGGGGTGGTCCTGCGACACCATCCCGGGGACGCTGGGCTTTGGGCTCCTGCCAGCCGCCGTGCAGAAACTCGGGCTCGTGGGGAAGGGCTGATCCTGCCCGGTGCCCTGCGGCAGGGCTGCCTTTGCCGTCTGGGCATCTGCTGCTCTGGGCACAGCCCAGTTCCCGTCGGTGGAGCACCGGCACCACCGAACCTCCCTGCCTGCCCAGGAGCTCACCCTGGGCCACCCCTGTCCCTGATGTCCCCAGGAGCCCTGGCCAGCGGTGGTGCCCCACAGCACTGGGGTTTACTGTGTCCCTCAGCCCCTGCCCAGGACCTGTGGACGGTGCACCAGGACTGACCTCCGTGTTGTCTCGAGGGGTTCGGGGGCTGCCCCTGCTCTGGGAGCGATGCACGGTGCTGCTGGAGCCGGGCGGGGGTGCTGGTCCTGCCCCTTCTTGGGGCTCCTACCCTGGTGCCTCCAGCCTCCCAGCCCCCCTGCCAGCCCCCTTCGGAGCCCACGGCCCGGTGCTACAACGGGGGTCCCGGTGTGCCGATGACCCCGTGCCGCTGCGTGGCTGCAGCCTGGTGAGGCTGCGTCACCCGTGCCCAGCGTGTGCCTTGAATTTTCACCACACCAGCCCTCTGTAGCCTTGAGCTCTGTTAATTTAATACTTCCCAACTTGCACAGTCGCTTGTTTTTTATATATATGTATACTGGTGCTGAACCTTTAATAAAATCCGGACCAGTCTTTTTGTGGCTGCCTCCTCCACCTTCGGGCTCCCTGGGGCTGGGGTGTGCTGCCTCTGCGGGAGCCGGATTCGGGGTCGCAGAGGTCCTGCTGTGGGAGGGGGAGGGTTGAGTTGGGGGGCTGGATGCCCCCATAAAGTAGTGGAGACCCCACAGGGTGGCTAGGGGGGGCTTGTGGAGCTGGGGATCTTTGGGGGCCATGAGAACAGCCAGGCTCTAGTGGGGCTGGGGGGGACCCTGAGGGGGCCA